AAATAAAATATAGCATCAAAAAAATTAGGTTACCTGACCAATTTTTTTGGTAATGGCGGTTCTAGATAAATTCCAACGTATAAGGACGAATTACGAAAGTAAATGAACGATGAAAAATATAGATCGAACGACGCAAACCTTGACATAGAGACTTTACCCGTTTCAGCCATAGTTATCGGAATATGTTTTGTAGCCTCGATAGTATCTTCAATTAATCCTTCAAATAAGGTCATTTTGACAGATTGAGCAATGGCGTGAGATATTGTAACTTTCACCATATAATTGCCGGAATGTTTAAGAGTAATCACATCATTATAGATTCTGGGAATTAAGACATTCCCAAAGAATTTAATGTAACGAAAGAATACAAAAGATAATTAAATCTTGAGACATCAAGAACACACCTTGGCTGAGAAGAAGCGGCATAATGAAAATGAAATTCTTCAGTTTCGACAACCTCAGGAGCTGAGAAAATGAATGATATAGAAATTGTAGAGTAGAGTAAAAAGGACATAACGAAATACATAACGAAATACATACCTAATTTTTCGTCTTCGAAGGCAATTAATTCACGTAATAGACTTTTTTCTTCAACTTCTTTCATACCCCAGATGACAACAACACCATAATCAAAGAAAATAACTTCAGGAGTTTCATTGTCCTGTTCTTGAGGAAGGATTACAGAATCCTCGATACCTAAAAGATCAGCAGTTGGTGGTTTAGGAGGACGAAAGGAAAACGGAGTATATATGCTATGTGATGAGTAAGTAAACAGAAATAAATTAATTCAATGGTAAACTAATGAATTTTTTTTTAGATATTTTTAGGAGGAAATTTGAAATGGTTTAAAGTAATAAATAGCATTTATATGTATTTATATGCTTACCATTCATCCAAACGTTTTGGAGCGGTACGATTACGTACTTTTCGATTTTGAAGATGTTTCATTAAATCATCTAACCGATAAGTTCTATAAAAGTATAATAAATCAGCAGGAGAGTATGATATAGGCACAATAAAGGGAAGGCATTATTTAAAACTTAGCATACGCAGCGGTGCAATATGCAGTGACCCGGGGAAGTTTAAGTCGTTCTTGTTTGCTAAGTCTTTCAGCTTCTCTTCTAGCAGTTCCCTGTGTAAGTTGACCGGTTTGATTGAATTTTCCATCATTCGTTTCTTCAACATTAGTTTGTTCTTCTGGAAAAAGTTTTAGTTTTTGAGAAGTCTTTGTGGTTCTATTAGGCTGTTTCGATTTTACCCTGGCTCTTCCGCCAACTTGAGGTTCGGTTTGTGGATCTATAACAGAAGGCTTTTGAGCGGAAGATTCCGTCAAAGAAGTCGGATTCGAAAGTTGTATATATCCTTGTTGACGTTTCTGCATTGTGAAAATCGACTCTAATGAAAATTATCTAAAATTACCGGTTTATTGTTTTATTTTATTTCACTATTTTATTTTATTTTTTTTGAATGGTAATACAGAACTGAACCGCCAAACAGCGGAAAATTTGGAAATTCCACGACCATGTGATAAGCTTTGTAGAAACTAGATAAGACTTATACTCAACTGTACAGATTTATATTATTTTCAACTGTATTATTTTTGATATATGTATATTGATATACGTAGTATAAACATGCATTTAATGTTCTGTCATGCACTAATGAAACACGTTCACGAAATTTCGTTATAAAATAAAAGATTTTGTATAATTAGAGATTGGAACAGTTCAATTGTTAACCGATTAACCGGTCAATATCTAGGCGTGGGAGGGAAAAAGTTCATACGTACGTATTAGAGATCTGCAAGCCGGGCAACTGCCCATGCCTAACAAAAAGCATTGGCACAAAAAAAGCATTTGTAAGTATAGATTTAAAATTGCCAGGCATAGTTGGCACTTTGGTGCCTGCCACAGTTGTGCCTGCCCGTGCCCATAATGTGTCTACGTAACTAATTAGTACCTAGGGGTGAATATACTATATTTATACAGCTATATCAGATATGAATGTTCGTTATAAACCAAATTGGGTTCAGGTGTGATACGTATAGAAAATTTATATCTTTCTGCTACTTTCTGTAGCTGTTTTCATAAAATTTTCTGATGATCGAATCGAGTCGGAATTAATAAATTACCGATATCCAAAAATCAGAAACTTATCGATTCGTTCATCGGTATTTTTTTTAGTTGTCCCAGAACGAGAATTTATAAAAATAGTTATATATAATATAAAAACTTTTTACAAAAAAATCTTTTTTTTTTCATGCAATAAAAAGAATTTCATATGCTTAATATAGAAAAAATTTTTAATTTTTATAAAAAGTCACTCGGACGTCGTATGACTTTCATATGATTAGCTGTTTAAGTCTACTTAATTTTATATTATTGGCGTTTAAACTAATGTTAGAGACTAAGGGGGTATAGTAAAGGAATTTTTTTTTTGTTGTGCGGCTTCTTATGTAATAACAAAATTGACGTTTGTTTTGGATCTTCGTGATCGTGTTACGTTGCACCAAATTGTAATTAATTATTGGCTAGACTGATGTAGATCGTCACGCGAAAGTGACATTTTGATGGCGATACTCGTGAATAGAGATGGGCAAAAATTTTATATATTCTTGCATATTCTTGCATATTCTTACAAATTATGGTAAAATCAATACGCCAAGGTAAAAAAATAAAGACTTCCAAGTTTAATAATTTATCGCATACAATTAATGATTAATTCAATGATTAATTCAATGATTAAACATTATCGAGATTTTCTAAAACTAAACCAGTCCTCTAAATCTTGAATACTATGTGTAGCTTGAATAGAAGATTCAATTACGGCTTCATTATATATAATTTGATCATTAGTATTAAAATTAAATTGTTTGCATTTTCTTCAAATTTTTCTTCCAAATAAATTTTCTTCCAAATTATCATCATTATTTTCCATATTATCAAATTCAATATTCGATGTTCGATGTAGTGTTTTTAAGACTTGCTTTATTAGAATTAGTTGTATTAGTTTGAACGATTTGATCAAGCCTATTTTCTTTATTTTGAACAATATGATGTGAATTATTTCTTTCTTGTGCAATATGCCATCGAATGTATGATATTTTTTGTTGCACGTTCATTAATAAGTTAGTTACGCTGTGGTGAATGGATATGTAATAATAATATCTTGGGGTCGTTGGGTATTAGTGGATTGATCCACTAATGCACAGTGACTCAAGATATTATTAATTAATACACTGACCTCTCACATGATAAAATACGTTATTAGCTCGTACGTACGTAATTAAAAATTTACATAAAATGATCTTTTTTTTAACATATTAATACTAAGAAAAAAAACTAACCATTCTGCGAGAAATTGTAAATATAGATAAAATATTTCTTAAAAATTTACCTCAACCGAAAGAGTGTACTATTTGAGATTGCGGAACAAAGGAATTATTCATTGAAAACTGTCCTCAAATAAAAACATTAAATGTTCGTAAAAATCTTTTAACTAATTTAGTAGACTTAGCAAATTATAGATAGATGGCAACGCTGAGCTAATTAAAATTTTGGAACCTTCTCGAGGTGATCTTACAAAAGTTTACGATTTTCATTCAATTAATAGAGATCCATTCAAAATTCGTAAACAATTGAAAAATCGTCGAAAAAATAGTAATATAACCGAAAAGCAACAGTGACAACAATTGTGATACAGTAATAACAAAATCAACAATGAACATGACAACGAAATGTTGATAAAAATTATGATTAAATGAAGACTGGCCAATTCATTTACTCGATCTCGATCCCCATTTACTTTATCTATTTCGCAATCAACTCAACAAATAAATTTAAAGATTCTCTATAATGGTTTAATTTTAACTTTATTAAATATAAAGTTAAAATTTTTCTTAGCCAATAAATAGTTTTTTATTTTAAATCGTAAAAAATATCAATATAAACTTTAAATTATTGTAATAACCACCCGTTGTTATTAAAGGGTAATATCCCGTCTGCGTTAAAAAATTATAATAATACTTTCTCGTTATATTTGTACACATAATAAAAAAAAATTGTGTATTTTATTTGTAATCCTACTTCTCTTAATAAAAATCTGATTTTTCTGTATTATAAACATCTATTTTCGTAAGACTAAGTTCATACTAAACTATAAACCAATCCTAAAAAGGATTAAATAAGAATTAGTAACATTCGTACCTTAAACCACAGTACCATTAACCTACGCATAGTTCCCCTTTGTTAACTATCAAAGTTGGATTTGTAACATAGATAACTATTTTTATCCAACCTGGTAGTTACAACGTACGCACGTATATAAAAATTTTTCGTGCTCAAAATATCTAAAATACAATTTCACCGTCGACTCATCAACCCGTAGATCTGTCTATATTTATCTGTGCCGCGTTGGCTTATCG